TGGCAGATAAGAAGGAGCGTCTTTCGCCCAGAGGCTCTCGGTCGCTTTGAGAGGCCAACCGACGGACCACAGTAGCTCGTTCGAAGAGACCTCGCCGGAAATGCAGGCGCGCAAGAGCCGGGCCGCGCGCGGGGATAGGGGTGGCGGGGGGGATGCCGCGCCTCGTTCTTGTGCAGCCAGAGCGTGTCCAGCTCCGAGAGGGCTCCGCTCGAGAGCGTGCGGGCGAGCGCACACGCGCCCGCGTCCGAGATGAGATTTCCGCCGAGGTGGAGGCGGTGGAGCCGGCTCAGCGCGCCCTGCAGGCCGGCGTCGCAGAGGGCCAGCACGCCGCCGTCCCCAATCTTGCTGCGCGGTAGGTACAGCTCCTCGAGCTTCCAGCACGCCCCCGAGGCGAGCGCCTGGGCGAGGGCGCAGACGTGCTCTGTGTCGGCGGCGAGCCGGATCCAGCGCGCCCGCACGAGCAGCCCCAGGCTGGCCGCGATGGCAAATATGCGGACGCTGCCCGTCGAAGGGCCGTCGTGCGGGCGGAGAAGGATCTCCATGCCCTGCACCGCGGCGGGAAGGGGGGGGGACGCGTGGTCGGTCGGTCGGCGTGTGCTGAGCGGGCAGGGTGCGCCGGGCGCGTACCTTCTTCCGGGAAATCTGAAAGTGCCCGATCTGAAAGTGCTCGTCGACGCGCTCGCGTACTTCGGCAAAGGTCAAGCCGTGTCTCCGCCCCGCCCACGATTCGGCGCCGGCTCTGCAAGTGCGCGCAAAGGCGTACGCCGCCCTTGGGGGAAGAAATCGGCCGATGTGTACCCACAGCTCCGGGGGGAGGGGCGCGGCTCCACTCGGCGGCGGTGGCCTCGAGCCCGGCGGCCTCGAGAAGACAGGTGAGAGCAGGTGGTTCATCTTGATGACATTTTCGTTACCTTCGCGGGCCGAGTTGGGGTCCCCCGACAACCCGCGGACCCCCGCAAAGCACAATCTGCTCTGCTTTAAAAAGCTCTACTAGTGTGGGACCTGCCGCGTTACCCGCCTCTGTTGTTCGGGCAGTGAGAGACGCAGGATCTGCACGCGAAGTGGGCTCCACTCCGCATTTGCATTTTGGTTTTGGGTGTCGGAGATCATCCATCGCAAGCATTGCTAAAAATCTCTCTCTCGCAAGCACTCATCAGTCAGCTCGGAGCCGCACGCGATGCTGCGGGCGCCGTTGGCTCCGTGCCTAAGGCAGATAGATTAGGGTGTGAGCTGCGGCAGCCAGTCGGAGGCCGCGATGGATGGCCCAGGGCCGGCGGCGGTGAAGGCGTCCGTCGATGAAGGGATGTCGTCGAGGGAGCCATCGTCCTCCGCGGCTGGTGCACCAGTCCAGTTGTCGGAGTTCGAGATCGCAGTCGCCCGTTGACGAACTCACGGAATGTGAGCGACTTGGTGCGCATCATGACCCGCATCTCATCCTGGGCGAGGAAGTCGCCCAGGGACCAGCTGTTGGCGTCGCCGTTTTGATCGAGCTGCATCCAAAAGGTGCATGGTTTCGTAGTCAAGCGTAAACGCCCAGGAGTTGGTGCCTGGGTGACTTGCTGATGAGAGCGCCTTCCAGGCGGGCAGTCGTGCCCCTCACCTACGGTCATACGGCGGCGTCAGAGGGGGGGAAGGGGCGCGAAGCGTGAACATGGAGGCAAGCAGGTGGTGGGCACCTGGCCAAAGCCGGCGACCTCAAAGTTGTCGTGATATCGCTGAGCGTGAGAGGCCGGCCTTGAGGGAGTCGCGGAGGAGGAGGGATAACGGAGGTAACGTGCAGACGGCAACAGCCAGTGGGACGAACGAGGGCCGCGACGGCGGCTCAAGCGGGAGGGAGCGGAGACAGTGGGCAGCGAGCGAAGTGGGTGAGACTGATGATGCTCCTTCCATCGACTTAGGGAGCGGTTCAGCTGCTGGGCGGGCTTCAGGGTGGTGCTCACGCGAAAAGGAATCGACGCGATGTACAATAGTACAAAGCATACAAGAAGGGGAGAAGGAAGAGGAGAGACGCCGGTGATGACCAAGCAGAAACTAGCGCAGACGAGAGCAGGGCAGACCCGGGGACGGCGGAGTCGGAGAAAGGCATCGACCGCCGAGGGAACGTTGGGAAGAGGCACGAGGAGGGCGGCGACCTCGACCGACTATGGGACGACCCCGGCTAGTCGCCGACCACACCCACAAAGAACCCTGCACAAAGATCGCAAGGGCGGGGACCTGTTCCTTTTTACCCACCTCACAGTAGAGAGGTGTCCGTTTAGCGTTTTATTTATTTATTTAAGGGAAGGAAGAAAGAAAGAAAAACCGAGAGAGCACCCAAAGGAGGGTAGGGAGGACGGCACGCCGCCACCACACAGGGATTTCACGCGGGAAGGAAGGAAGGTAATGAAACAGGTGTGTTGCTAGCCGTCGCCCACCCAGCACCCTTGGGCTTGGCCCTTGGGCGCCTGCCTCTTCCTATATACACAACTCTCGCCGATTCTCGCGGCAACCTTCATGCCACCTCGCGGTCGTGATCCCACTCTCGTCGTTCTCTCTCCTGCCCCGTTGTCCTCGTGCCTCATCGCTCTCTCCTCTGCCTCGTTCTGTGCGACGACTCCGACGCCTGCGCCGATCCCGTGCTCTCGCGGCTTCTGTCGCCTCTCGGCGCAACTCCGCTCTCCTCGCGGCGTATTTTCAGTGTATGTAGCTCTTACGTACATTCCCGGAGGAGGACTGCTGACAGGGTTTGCGATGAGGAGCGACCCGATGGGTTTCTCGGAGGTTAGTGCACCAACCACTAACCGCCGAAGCGCAAGCGCTGGGAGCAAGAACACTACGACCTGGGTCGGGCTCATACTAGCACCCCACCTCGCGAGCCGACGTTCTGGCTCAGCGAGGTTTTGGCCCGCAAGCGGCATAATTCTTTTTCGGATTCTCTTGGGTCGGGATGCAGGACCAGCGCGCGAAGAGTGACCCACTTTGAGAGGTCAACTCGCACGTGGTCGTCGTGTACGAGGAGGAGGACGGCGGCGGCGCGGTGGTCAAGGTGCTTTACGCGGGCGTCGTCACCAAGGTAGCCGCCGCACAGGGGATGCGCGTGCGCTTTGACGAGGGGGGAGGGGAGATGTGGGTCGACGAGCGCGCGGGCGACGAGTGGTGGTACGAGACCTCGCCCAAGCCGCCCGCGAGCCGAGACGGGGCCGCCGCCGCGATGGCCTCCGCCGTGAGCGATGAGGCGGCCTCCTCGCAAGGCGTCGCTGCTGCTGCCCCAACGCCACCCGCCGCCGCGGGCACGGCCGCTGCTGGCGCTGGGCCGTGCAGGTGGACACCCTCGGAAGACGATGCGCTCCGCCAGCAGGTCGGGCTGCTCGGACGCAAGTGGAAGGCAGTGTCGGAGCAGCTACCACGCACCACCGCGACATCGTGCCAAAGGCGCTGGGAAAAACTGCAAAAGGCGGAGGCAAAAGCAGCAGCGGGGGAGCCGTCTCGCGCTCGACGACGGCAGAATGAGCCGTGGAGCGTTGAGGAGGAGAACTTGCTCGCACGAGCTGTCAAGCCCTACCTCAAGGCGGCCAGCATCGAGTGGAGCACCATTCGCAGCAGCCACTTCGCCTGCCGGACGAGGGTCGAAGTGCAAAACAAGTGGGAAAACATGTGCGCCACGCAGAAGCGGCGGCTTACCGGACAGAAGCGCCGGCGCTGAGCAAGTGGTGGTTAGCCAAGCGGGCTCTCATTCTCTGAGCACAACCAGGTCGAGATGGCGCGGACAGCAGCAGCAGCAACAGCGGACGAGGCAGCAGAAAGGGAGGGGATGGGCGGGACTGACGCGGTGAGTGCGGCAGCCGGCGTGCCACGAGAACAATGGGTCTCCGAGAAGAGAGACGAGAGAGTGCACATGTACATGTGTGAACAGCGACGAAAGGAAAGGCGTGTGCTTCACTACCACTATCACAGCGATGGCCGCAAGCCGTGCCAGCTGGATAGTGATCCCGCTCAGCCTCCCTCACAGCCACATCTCGGCTACATCTCAGTTACGGCAAAATCGAGGGCTGCCGCCGCGGCCCGTAGCACGAAGAACGTCTGATAGTGTAGCGCGTGCTCGCCGGCTGCCCGACCCACGGCGGCGCCCCGACCCTGTGTGCAGAGGTGACGAACGTGCGCTCGAGTGGAGCACACCTGGTAGTAGCGAGCTACGAGGCAGAGTTTTGAGGCATAGAGCTTTGACAGCTCGTGCATTGTTGCACCAGCAGCCAGAGCTGGACACCTGTAGGCGCGGACCGTGGGGGAAGAGTGCAGCCGTCGAAGCACCAGTGTGCCCCGAGTGTGGACTCGGAGGTGTGTGTGCGTGTAAAACACAACGGGCGGGGGCACGCAGCACAGGTGTGAGGGTTGGAATACATCGGGCGGGGCACGCACGAGGGAGCAAGTGAGGGAGGATGCGTGCCGACCGGGGCTGACGTGGCGGCCAATGGAAAATGACCGCCGAGTTTCGGGCAGCATTTTTTCTAACCACATAACCTATTCTGAGAGAGGTTTTTGAAAACCAACAAGAAATCACGACTGTCACAGTGATTTGGGCTCGGCAGCTTGTCAGCCCTCAGCCGAAGCTGGGGCCGGTCCCGTAGCCGAGAGATCTCTTCTTCCTACTGCGGCACGATAGCTCTCTGGGCTGCAACATACCTCCTATCCCAAAAGTTATTTAGTACCACCCCCCTACCGCCGCCCAGTACGTGCTCCGCAGCTGAGCCCACGCACCCCACAGCAGCTCAGGGACACAATGAGCTCGCATACAAGTGCTGGTACGCACAGCTCGACGCGTACTCGAATGCTGCCACTGTCATTCTAGCCGGCGAGCGGCGGCGTCACAGCGTCGACTCTTGCATCGCGATGAGACGCACTGCTTGCCCAGACGCGCGCCTTGGCGCGCTCCTGTCGTGCAGGAGGAAGGCCAGCGGTCGTGCTGCGCAGGCCCGGCCGTCTGGCTGAAGGAAGCAGCAGCTGGCGCTCAACAGCAGCGCTGTCGAGCAGCGCAGCACACCACACTCCCGCCAAACCACGTGTCATTTCGCGCCAAGATTTGGCGCCAAAATGGCACTTTAGTGTCCACCTAGCCACGTGGTCGCGGCCTGAAGCTCCAAGCTTCTGGGACTGAGGTCCCACATCGCTGGACTCCATTTGTGTGCAGGCGGCACCCTTCCGATCGTTCGCCGATGTCCGAAACCGGGGTGGTACTAAATAACTTTTGGGATAGGAGGTACATGTACATGTACCTACACTCGTGTCCGAGGAGGCCACCGGCCAAAAGCGCATGTCTTGAAGGTCCGATACTGGAAGCCCATATAGGCACCTTACACTCCCCCGCAGTATCGCACCTCTTGAGCGACACTACGTTTCCGCAGCTGGGGATTCTCCGGGTACCCCTCTTTGTTCGATCGGCCCCAGTCTCGAACTGGCAGCCACTATCTCACCGGAGGTACCATGTCCGAGGAGGCCACCGGCCAAAAGCGCATGTCTTGAAGGTCCGATACTGGAAGCCCATATAGGCACCTAACAACTCGACTGCAACGGCGCGCAGCGCCGAAGAAAATTTGGGGGCTTCTGGCCGGTATGGACGCCGTTGTTTCGCAGCTCGGTCGGGGGGGGGGGCGCCCCTGCGTTTCGCTGCGGTCGGTCGAAAATCATTTTGATCGCGGATCTGTAATTCTTGTTTTCCGAGTTCTTTTTCGGATTCTCTGGGGGATGCAGCGGCGGCGCGAAGAGTGAGAGTGGGCGACTTCGTGACAAGCTTCCTCTGCTCGATGAGAGAATCTGACCAGTCTCCCGACGTCTCCGAGCCCACCCAGCAATCCGCCGAATACTGGGCCGACGCGCCTCTATACGGGAGCAGCCTCGTCGCCGCTTTCGAGGCCCGGGCAGCGGAGCTCGGAAACGAGCGCCTCTACACGTGGCTGAGAGCCAACCTGTCCGAGGAGGCGACTCTGAGCTACGCTGAGCTGCGCAGCCGCGCCCTCTCCGTCTGCGTGGCTCTGCGCCGCACCTGGGGCGTGCCACAGCAGGGACGAGCCATGCTCATCTACCCGCCCGGCCTGGTGCGGCGGCTCCCCAGCCCGGCTGAGCCCACCCAGTCTAGAGCCGACGCTCGATTTGCACCGTCCCAGCGGCCACTCAGGCTCCTCCCTCCGTCCCGCGCCGCAGGAGCTGCTCGTCGCCTTCTTCGGCTGCAACTATGCCGCCGTCATCGCCGTGCCGTACTACCCGCCCGTTCTGCCGACCTCTCCGATGCCGAGCGCCGCGGCGAGGCGGACGCTGGGCGAGGGGATCGACAAGGTTGCTCGCATCTATGCCTCCTGCGCCCCCTCCCTCCTCCTCTCCACCGCCTCCTACCTCCGCCTCCGCTGGCTCTCCTCCAAGCTGCTCGGCGCCGGCACAGCAGACCAGCCCACCGCGTGGCCTGAGGGGTGGACTTGGCGCTCCTCCGACGATGTCAAGGAGGCGCGCGGGGCGGACGCAGACTGGCTGGCCAGCTGGCTCGCCGCGCGGGCGGGCGCGGGCGCGGGCACCGAAGCTGCCGAAGCTGCCGCCGCCGCCGCCGCCGCCGCCGACGGCGGCGAGGTTTCTTTCCTGCAGTACACGTCTGGCTCGACCGGCCACCCGAAGGGAGTGGTGGTGCGGACGCGCAACCTGATGGCGAACGTGCGCGCGCTCAAGGCGGTCTCTCCCGTCTCGGCGGCGGCCGGCGCCGGCGACCCCGTCGCCCTCGTCTCGTGGCTGCCGCAGGCAAATAGACGGCAGACAAACGGGGCAAATAGACCACGCCCGCCCCGTCTCCTCACCGCTCCCCCTTCCCCTCTCCCCGCCGCTGCCTCTGCCGCTCTCTCCCCACCGCCGCCGCTCCCTCTCCACCGCCCCACCCCGCCTGCCGCCTCCCTCACCGCCGCCACCCCGCCGCAAACAGTACCACGACATGGGCCTCATCGGCTGCTGCCTCGCGCCTGCGCTGATCGGCTGGACTGCAGACCTCATGTCGCCCTCATCCTTCCTGCAGCGGCCCGCGGCGTGGACGCAGGCCGTGTCGCGGCGGGCAGCCTCACACTCCGTCGTCACCACCGCGCCGAACTTCGGGTCCGCAACCACCCCCTCCGCCCCCCACGCCACCTCCACCAAGCCCTCACAGCCAACGACCTCCTCCGCCCCCCCCCCCCGCGCCACCACGCCTTCCCAGCAGAGGAGGAGGGGGGGCTCATAGCAGAGGAGGAGGGGGCACGCCGGTCCACTGCACGGCACCGTCGTGTCTCGCGGCAGAGAGACGGGCACACTCGAGCAGCACGCACAGGCACGAGAGCACCCTACGCAGCCGCCCGCACCTTCACACGCCACGACCCCCCTCCCGCAGGTACGCCCTCTGCGTCCGTCGCGCGCACCCGTCCCGCGCCGCGCCACCGGGCAAAGCGGCGCCGCCGCTGTCGCTCTCGCACTGGCGCGCCGCTCTCAACGGCGCCGAGCCGATCCGCGCGGCGACGCTGCGCGCCTTTTGCGAGGCCTTTGGCCCTTGCGGCTTCCGGCCCGACGCCTTCGCCTGCGTCTTCGGCCCCGCCGACAGCCGCGCCTCAGCCGCGCGGGAGGCGGCCAGGCCGAGATCAGCCGAGATTGGGCGAGAGTAGGCCTCGCCGAGAATTGCCTCTTTGTCGCGGGTCGCACCGAGCGGCCGCACCTGCTGCGCCTCTCCCGCGCGCGGCTCGCCGTCGGCGCGCGCGCCTAGATGCCGGGCTGCAGATCGACGTCTTCCGAGTAGCAGAAGACACGTCCTCACCCCGGGTTGAGGGCTTGAAGAGTACTCGTCGTACTCCTCTCGTCCGCTCTCATGGGCCATGGCTGTGGAAGAGTACGCGTTGTACCCGTGGTGCCTTCATGACGCAGGCGCACGGGCGATGCCCGACCCGCTGGCCGTCTTCCGGCGGGCCCCGTCGCCCGAGCTCAGGAGGGGCAGCAGCGCCTCTGCGCCAGCGGCTGACGCTGACGCAGAGACGGTCGCTGCTGAGGCGGCCGGAGGCGCCGCTGCAGTCGACGAGAGGCTCGAGGTGGCCGGCTGCGCTTGCCTCGACCGTAGAGGGCCGGCGGCGCAAGCGGTGCGCGTCGTCCACCCCGACACGCGCGCGCTGCTGCCCGACGGCATGGTCGCGCGGTCCTAGATGCGGGGTGAAGGGCCCTCGCGTCCCCGAGTAGCACTCGAGAGGACTCGCTTCCTCCGCGGCTCTCTGAATACACCGCGCATGACACACCCGTATCCCCGCCTTGCCGTCTGGTGTGGTCATGGCGTCCTCACGCGCCGGCTCCGGTGTCTTCTTTGACGTAGGTCGGCGAGGTGTGGCTAGCGGGACCGTCCGTAGCGGGCGGCTACTGGGGGCTTCCCACCGAGACCTCTGCCACCTTCCACGCGCGCATCGACCCGGCCACCGCCGGAGACGGCGGCGGCAGCGGCGGCAGCGGCGGAGAGGGCGGCGGCGGCGGAGAGGGCGGGGGCAGCGGAGTGCTGGCGCCACATTTGCGGACGGGCGACTTGGGGATGCTCTGGAGCGGCCGGCTGTACATCGTGGGCCGCATCAAGGACGTGCTAACGGTCCGCGGCCGCACGCTCCACGCGTCGGATGTCGAGGTGTGCGCCGAGGCGGCGTGCGCCGAGATGTCTGCGAGATGACGCGAGATGACCCGAGATGGACACCCGAGTTTCAGGCGTGCGCCGAGGCGGGGTGCACGTCGCTGCGGCCCGGCTGTGTCGCCGCCCTCCCCGTCGGCGTCGTGGGGCGCGCCGCCGAGGAGCAGCTCGTGCTGATGGGCGAGGTGGCGGGACACTTCCGAGACACCTCCGCCACACACACACCTCCGAGACACCTCCGAGACAGCTCTCAGACACGCCCCAGACACCTCCGAGGCACTTTCGCCACGCCTTCGACACTTCTTCGAAATACCCCCCCCCCCCCCCCCCCTCCCTCCAGGTGAGGGCCGAGGTGCCCCTGACGGCGAAGGCGCTAGAGGCGATCTGCCGTGAGGTGGCAGAGTCGGTTGCGAGCAGCGAGGTGCGGACGCTTCCGAGACACTTCCACTACCCCCGCGAGCCAGAGAGCTGCCCGCGCCTCGCTATGCGCCGCCCTAATGCTCTCTCGCTGTCGCCGCGGCCACGAGTCGGCTCCGCCTCTCCCGCCTCGCCTGCGTTCCTCCCCGCCCACACTCCCCGCTCCTGCCTGCCAGGCGGTCCGCCCTGCGGCGATCGTGCTGCTCCGCCCGCGCTCCATCCTCAAGACGACGTCGGGCAAGCTGCGGCGCCGCGACTGCCGCGAGGCCTTCCTCCAGCTCACCTCAGCGGACGCGGGCGAAGGAGAGGGCGCCGAGGGCGCCGCCGCCGCCGCCGCCAAAGCCCCGCCCAAGCTCCCTCCCGGCAGCGTCGTCCATGTCTGGCGGGACGAGCCTCCGGCACCGCAGCTAGCGCCCGGCGGTGCTGGCGCCGGCCAAGCGGCCGCCTGTGGGGCCGGTGCAGCTGCGGTGGGACGCGACACCGCCGCGTCGGCGCGAGACACCGTCGCGGGCGCAGAGGAGCGGCGGCTGTCTGCGGAGCGGTGCAGCGCCTACGGCCCTATGGTGGCGGAGGCGGAGCTGCTGATGTCGCGCTCGCCGACGCGGCTGCGCGAGCTGGACACGTCCGAGGGCACGTCCGAGGGGTGCGCGACGCGTCTGCGCGCGCGCGACGAGCGCGACGAGACCCGGAGCGAGGCTGGCCGAGCGGGCGACGCGGCCGGCGAGGATGGGGCCGGCGAGGATGGGGCCGGCGAGGATGGGGCCGGCGAGGATGGGGCTGGGGAGGATGGGCGCCGGGGGCAGGGGAGGGAGGGGAGCGGGGGGGAGGCGGCCGAGTCGCTGCTGCCGCTCCTGCAGCAGCTCGCCTCCGAGGTGCGCGGTGCAGACGTCGACGCCGACGCGCCTCTGATGGAGGCGGGGCTCGACTCGGCCGCGCTGGGCGAGTTTCAGGTCGAGACACTTCCGAGACGCTTCCTCCGTCCCCTTCCCACTCACCGCCTCCATCCGCCTCCACACTGCTCGCGCCGCCGCCGCTCTCGACACACCCATGCCACGCCCACTGACACGTCCCTCTGACACGTCCCTCTGACACGTCCCTCTGACATGCCCCCCCCAGGGGCTGGTGAGCGAGGCTCTCGGGCGGGAAGAAGCGCTCCCCGAGACGCTCCTCTTTGAGCACCCGACGCTGCGCCAGCTCGCCCGCGCGCTCGGCGGCGGCGGGGTGGCGTCGGCCTCCCTCGACCACAGGCAAGCCCTCTTCGCCCCACCCAGCCGCGCTGGCGCACCCTCCACCGCCGCCGTCTCGGGCGTTGCTGGCGCTTTTGCCGCCGGCGCCGACGCCGCAGCGCTGGGCCGCCTCTGCGACTGCGCCTCAGACGCGATCGTCGAGGTGCCGCCAGACCGGTGGGGGATCGGGTCCGCCCACATGCCTGCCACAGAGAGCGAGCTCGGCCGCCGCGCCAGCCACGGCGGCTTCGTGCGAGACGCCGACTGCTTCGACAACCTCGCCTTTGGCGTCTCGCCCGCCGAGGCGGCGGCGATGGACCCGCAGCAGCGGCTGCTGCTCGAGCACGGCTACGAGGCGCTGCACGCGTCGGGGCAGGGCCGCGAGGCGCTCGCGGGCAGCCTGACGGGCGTGTTTGTGGGCATCGCCGCGGCGGACTGGGCCGAGGTGCTGCGCGGGTCGCCGGTTGGGAGGAGCGTGTACGCGGCCACGGGGAGCAGCCACTCGATCGCGTCGGGCCGGCTCTCGTTTGCGCTCGGGCTGCACGGCCCGTGCGTCTCGTACGACACCGCCTGCTCGGCGGCGCTGGTCGCCGCGCACGGCGCGGCGGGGGCGCTGCAGCGGGACGAGTGCCCGTCTGCGCTGGTGGCGGGGGTGAGCCTGATGCTGCTGCCGGGCGTGTCGGTGACGTTTGCGACGGCGGGGATGCTGTCCGCGCGAGGCCGCTGCCACACCTTCGACGCGCGCGCGGACGGCTACGCGCGCGCCGAGGCGTGCGCCGCTCTCGCTCTCGGTGACGGGGCTGCCGATGCCACCAACCCACGGCTGCTCGGCAGCTGCGTGCGGCAGGACGGGCGGAGCGCGAGCCTGACGGCGCCCAACGGGCAGGCGCAGCGGGACCTGCTGTCGCGTGCGCACGCGGTGTCGGGCGCGGGGCTCGCCGAGCGGTGCTTCTTCGAGGCGCACGGCACGGGCACGGCGCTCGGCGATCCTGTGGAGGCGTGCTAGCGTCCCTCCCTCAGCGGACATGACCACGACGCGTCCATGACATGGCCGCGAAAGTTTCCATAGGCGCGATCCCTCGCGGCGTCCCTCCTCGGCGCGGGAGCGGCTGGCCCTTCGCTCCCCTCCGTCAGCTCCTCCAAGGCACACTGTCACACCGCGCAGCGACGTCGTCCGCAGTTCAACCCAAGTGCCGGCTGAGCCCCCCTCCCTCCCCACCTCTCCGCCGCAGGCCAACGTCGGGCACGCCGAGCCCGCAGCGGGGTTGGTCGGCCTGCTCTCGATGCCGCTCTCCGTGCTCCGCGCGCACGCGCCGCCAAACGCCCAGCTCCGCACGCCAAACCTAAACGTGACCGCCGCGCTGTCGAGCGAGCCTTGCGCGCTGCCGACCCAGCCGATGCGTCTCGCGACGGGTTGCGAAGCCGCTGCTGGCGGCGTGAGCTCCTTTGGCTACAGCGGCACGATCGCCCACGCAGTCCTTCGGCGTGCCACTGCCGCAGCCGCCCCATCCCCAGCCGTTTGTGCCGCCGCCGCCGCCTCGGCAGCCGCCAGCCTCGCGTACTCTCGGCGGCGATTCGGGTGGCGGGAGGCGCCGCACCCTTTTGCAGAGTGGGCGAGGCCCCCCGCTGGAGGCTCCTCCGTGGCGACCTTCACCTCGCGGCTCGGCGGCGCGCTGCTGCAGCTCGTCGCCGACCACCTCGTCCGAGGGCGCGGGGCTGCTCCCGGCGGCAGGCGTTCGCGACGTGTCCGGGACACGTCCCACGCGACACCGTCACGTAGGCGCGTCGTCTTCCCGGCGGCCGGTTTCCTCGAAATGGCGCGCCGCCCCAGATTGTGAAGTCGTGGTACTCCACCCCGGCGCTTGAGGAGACGCTGATAGCCCATGCTCTTCTCGCCGGCTTGGGCTATCACGCGATGCTCCGAACACACCACACGCCGCTGCCGCACCCACACTTGACCGCTCCGAGTCTTCACACGCAGGCGCGCCACTCGGGGGCACTCGCTCTGGGCACCGAGGCGCTGTGTCTGCGCCGCATCTACTTTCTGCAGCCGCTGCTGCCCGGCGGCGGCGCATCGGAGGTTGCATGCGAGGTCGACACATCCGCCGGCCGTTTCGAGGTTCGGAGCCGTCGCGTCGCCGCTCCGGCGTTTGGCACGGAACTTGCGCGGGGCGACTCGCCCGCCGCCGTGCACTGCGCGGGCGACGCCGCGGCGGGCGGCGGCGCGCTTGTTGCGACGACGGCTGCGAGCGTGCGTCGGTGCGCGGCGGTGGCCGTCGACCCCGCAAGGTTGTACAGCGAGCTTCGCTCTGTCGGGCTCGAGTACGGCCCGCGCTACCGGCCTCTGCTCGCCGTCTGGTGCCCGCCTCGCGGCGGCGGCGCTTGCGCGGCGAGGCTGCGCCGGCAGGCTGGGCCGACGGCGGTGGTGGCGCACCCCTCCAGTGTCGACGCCGCGCTTCAGCTAACCGGTTTCCTCGCGACGGGCGAGAAGGGCGGGAGGGAGGGGGGCGGGCGGGGCGGCGGCGGAGGAGGGTTGCGGCTCCCGTTCTCGGTTTCGGCGGCGTCCTTCCGCAGGGCGCGCGGGCCGCTCTGCGCATTCGTGGCGGCGAGCGGGCCCAGCTGCGCCGCTGTGAGGCTGTGCAGCTCCGCCGAGCCGGGCTCTCCCCCTCCCGCCGCCATCGACGGGTTTGAGAGTCGCGAGGTGCCGGAGCCTGGAGAGGGGGGGGGTTGCGCGGTGTTGGACAGCGTTCTCTCCACACCCTCCCCGCGTGAATAGGTCTCGGAGCGAGAGCAGAAGAGGGCGGCGCGCGCAGAGCAGCAGCAGCAGCAGCAGCAGCACGTCTACGTGACGGAATGGCGGCGCGTCTCGCTTGATCCGAGCGCAGAGGCCGAGGGCGTCGCTGTGTGGCTCGGGCCTCCGCAGCATGCCTCCCGCGGGTCGCCTTGCGGGGCTGTCTCGGAGGGGGGTGAGGCGGGGAGTGTGGCGGCAAAACAGTCCACGGGCTGCGCCGTGGCCCTGTGGCCGAAGGGAGGACATTCGGCAGCTCTACCGCCCTCCGAGGCGGTGCTGGCAGTGCTGCGCGGAGCACAGGCCGCCACGGCGCCGAGCATACTCCGGCTGGTGACGTGCGGCTCGGCGCCGATGCCCGGCAGCCGGCCAATGCGACCCGCACACGCAGGAGTGGTCGGCTTGTGCCGCACTGCTCGCTCGGAGCTGCCGACGGCGCTTTTGGTGAACGTCGACGTGCAGTGGGTGAGGGAGGCGTCGCCGCTGCTCGCGCTGCTCCACCCCGCCTCCGAGCCCGAGGCGCTGCTGCGGCTTTCGACATGCACGTGTGCATGTCGCGTGCCGAGGCTGGCCGAGGGCACTCAGGGCCAGGGCGGGGCGACGCCGGTGGCGCTCTACTTTGACGCGCGCGGCGCAGTGGCCAACCTCCGCGTCGCGCCGCAGCCGCCCCACGAGGCGCCGCCGCAGGTGGGAGACGTCGAGCTGCGCGTGCGCGCGGTCGGCCTCAACTTTCGCGACGTGCTCAACGTGCTCGGAGCATACCCGGGCGACCCCGGCCCTCCCGGCTCCGACTGCGCCGGCGTTGTGGCGGCGTTGGGCGACGGCGCCGGCTCGCAGCTGCGCATTGGCGACAGCGCGCTCGGTCACGGCATCGCGGCGCTCGCCTCCATCGCGCGAACCGACGCGCGGCTCGTCGCGGCGTTGCGGGCGCCGCTCTCACTGGAGCAGGCCTCCACGCTGCCGACGACGTGGAGCACAGTGCACATGTCGCTGCTCGCGTCGCGGGCGAGGAGCGGTGGCAGCGTGCTGCTGCACGCCGGCGCGGGCGGCGTCGGGCTCGCGGCTGCGGCGTACCTGCACTGGCTCGGCGTCCGTGCTGCGGCGACGGTGGGTCGGCCGTACAAGCATTGCTTCCTGCGAAGCCTTGGCTTGCGCCACAGGACCCTCAGCTCGCGCGACGGCGGAGCCTTCGCGTCGGGCGCGGCGGCGCTGTTCGGCGCGTCGCGGCTGCACGCGGTGCTCAACAGCCTGTCGGCGGATTTCATCGCCGCGTCGTTCGCCTTGCTTCGCGAGGGGGGCGGTTGGGGCGAGATTGGCAAGCGGGCGGTGTGGAGCGCGGAGCGTCAGCTCGCCGCCTCTCCTTCCGCCCGGTGCGTCGCGTTGGCGCTCGACAGCGCCATGGAGCAGCGCCCGTGCTGGATGCGAGGCGTGCTCCGCCTGCTCTCGTCTCGCGCCGCAGCCGGCGTGGTGCACGGGCTGCCCCTCGTCACTTTTGCGCTCGAGCGGAACGTGCAAGCCGCGTTCCGCTGCTTGCAGAGCGGCGCAAACACGGGCAAGGTTGTGGTTCGCGTCCCGACGTGCGCGGAGGTGGCGCCGCGCGGGGTGCACGTGGTGACGGGCGGCACGGGAGGGCTCGGCCTGCTGACCGGGCGGTGGCTTGGCGAGGGCGGCGCGGCGGCGGTCGCGTTGGCGTCTCGCGGAGGCTCCGTCTCGCCGACAGACGCCGAGTGGCCGGGCCGGGCGGGAGGGTGCGATGTGGGCGTGGCGCAGTGCGACGCATCGGACGTGTCGGACGTGCGTCGGCTGGTGAGCTGCCTCTCGGCGCACGGCGGCGGCGGCGGCGGCGGCGGCGGGGTAGCGCGGCTCCTTGGCGTGTGGCACGCTGCGGGCGTCCTCTCCGACGGCCTCCTTCGCATGCAGACGGCGCACTCACTTGTGCGCGTGTACGCGCCCAAGGCGCAGGGCGCGTGGGCGCTGCACGGCTCGTCGAGCGTATCGCCGCTCGATGCGTGCGTGCTCTTCTCGTCGGTAGCGGCGCTCTTTGGCGGCGCCGGCCAGGCCAACTACGCCGCCGCCAACAGCTGCCTCGACGCGCTCGCTGCGTGCCGCGCCGTGCGAGGCTTGCGCGGCTCGAGCGTGCAGTGGGGGCCGTGGGCGGGGGTGGGCATGGCGGCTGGCGGCGCGGTGCACGCGCGGCTGCAGGCCGGCGGCGTCGGGCTCGTCGGCCTCGAGGAGGGCGTGCGAGCGTGGCGCAGGTGTCTGCTTCCGGGGGGACCGGCCGTGTCGGCTGTCGTGGTTGTGGCGTGGGGCCGCTTCCTCGGCGTGCTCCCGCGCGTGCCGCCGCTGCTTGCGTCGTTCGCGTCCCGCCGCGCCGCCTCGAGAGTGCCGCAGTGGGCAGGCTCCTCCGCCTCTGGCGCCGCGCAGGGCGTCACCACCGAAGTCGTGACTGAGCTGCTTCGCGCGACGGTCGGGTCTGCCGTCGACGCAGACGCGCCGCTCATGGAGGCGGGGCTCGACTCGCTTGGAGCGGTCGAGCTCGGCAACCGGCTGAGAGAGGTGTCCGGCTTCGCGGCGTTGCCCAGCACGCTCGTCTTTGACTACCCGACGGCGCGCTTGCTGGCCGAACATTTGGGGTCGCGGTCCGAGGCTGTCGCCTCGCCCACGAGGGCCGTCTCTCCAGCCTCTGGGGGGGCGCTCGTCGCGCCGAGCGTCTTCTTGTCAAGCGCAGCGGCGGTGCTGCCCATGGGCGCGTCCAGCGTGGGCGCGGCGTTTCGCGCTACCTCGTGCGCCGTCGACCTCATCAGCGAGGTGCCGCCCGAGCGTTGGGCGCTCTCCCCGCAGCCGCGCCCAGACGACGCCGTCGGCTTGCGCGTGCGGCACGGCGGCTTCGTGCGAGACGCCGACTGCTTCGACAACGCCGCCTTTGGCGTCTCGCCCGCCGAGGCGGCGGCGATGGACCCGCAGCAGCGGCTGCTGCTCGAGCACGGCTACGAGGCGCTGCACGCGTCGGGGCAGGGCCGCGAGGCGCTCGCGGGCAGCCTGACGGGCGTGTTTGTGGGCATCGCCGCGGCGGACTGGGCCGAGGTGCTGCGCGGGTCGCCGGTTGGGAGGAGCGTGTACGCGGCCACGGGGAGCAGCCACTCGATCGCGTCGGGCCGGCTCTCGTTTGCGCTCGGGCTGCACGGCCCGTGCGTCTCGTACGACACCGCCTGCTCGGCGGCGCTGGTCGCAGCGCACGGCGCGGCGGGGGCGCTGCAGCGGGACGAGTGCCCGTCTGCGCTGGTGGCGGGGGTGAGCCTGATGCTGCTGCCGGGCGTGTCGGTGACGTTTGCGACGGCGGGGATGCTGTCCGCGCGAGGCCGCTGCCACACCTTCGACGCGCGCGCGGACGGCTACGCGCGCGCCGAGGCGTGCGCCACTTTCTCGCTGCAGCGCGTCGCCGGCGCGGCGGCGGTGCTTGCGACGTGGTCCGGCAGCTGCGTGCGGCAGGACGGGCGGAGCGCGAGCCTGACGGCGCCCAACGGGCGGGCGCAGCAGGCGTTACTGCGGGCGGCGAGTGGGTTGAATGTCGCTGCTGGCTGCCCGCTATTTATAGAGGCGCACGGCACGGGCACGGCGCTCGGCGACCCGATTGAGATGCGGTCGCTGTGCTCGGCGCTCGGTGACGGCCGTTCGCGCGTGACGGTTGGCAGCGTCAAGGCCAACGCGGGCCACGCCGAGCCGGCGGCGGGCGCCGCCGGTTTGCTGACCGCCCTCCGGCTCTGCGACGGTGAGGCGCCTCCCAACGCGCAGCTGCGAGCAATCAACCCGAACGTCTCCGACGGGATTGGCCGCCAGGTCGCGCTCGCGGTGCAGCCGGTGCACCACGCTGCTCGCGTGGCGGGCGTGAGCTCGTTTGGGTACAGCGGCACGATCGCCCACGCCGCCCTCTCTTCCGACGCTTTGGCGGAGCGGGGTGTCGCCGTGGCGTCCTCGTGGCGCAGCCAGCCCTCGTTCCTCCGCCGGCGGGTGCGCCACAGACACGAGCCGAGCACGGCGAGTGCGAGCGGCTTCGGGATCGACGCGTTGCTGGAGCTGCTGCAGACGACTGTGGGGGAGGAGACGGACGCAGACGTCCCGCTGATGGACGCGGGCCTCGACTCGCTCGGCGCCGTCGAGCTCGGTAACCAGCTGCAGGAGCGGGCGTCGGCGGCAGGCCACGCCCTCGTGCTTCCGAGCACGCTCATTTTCGACCACCCGACCGCTCGCCAGCTCGCGCTCTTCTTTGAGTCGCAGATCGGCGACGCAGAGGCCGCGGGGAGGCAGGGGGTAGACGCGCTGAGCCGCACCGCGCCGTCTCGCATGATTGGCCTGCCGCGAGAGCCTGCCCGGCCTGCGGCTCTGGCAGCGGCGCCCATCGCAGCGTGCGGGTTGAGCGCCGCTCTACCCTCTGGCTGCGCCTCCACTGGTGCCTTTCGCCTCACCTTGCAGTGTGCCGTCGACCTCATCAGCGAGGTGCCGCCCGAGCGTTGGGCGCTCTCCCCGCAGCCGCGCCCGGACGACGCCGTCGGCCTACGCGTGCGGCACGGCGGCTTCGTGCGAGACGCTGACTGCTTCGACAACGCTGCCTTTGGCGTCTCGCCCGCCGAGGCGGCGGCGATGGACCCGCAGCAGCGGCTGCTGCTCGAGCACGGCTACGAGGCGCTGCACGCGTCGGGGCAGGGCCGCGAGGCGCTCGCGGGCAGCCTGACGGGCGTGTTTGTGGGCATCGCCGCGGCGGACTGGGCCGAGGTGCTGCGCGGGTCGCCGGTTGGGAGGAGCGTGTACGCGGCCACGGGGAGCAGCCACTCGATCGCGTCGGGCCGGCTCTCGTTTGCGCTCGGGCTGCACGGCCCGTGCGTCTCGTACGACACCGCCTGCTCGGCGGCGCTGGTCGCAGCGCACGGCGCGGCGGGGGCGCTGCAGCGGGACGAGTGCCCGTCTGCGCTGGTGGCGGGGGTGAGCCTGATGCTGCTGCCGGGCGTGTCGGTGACGTTTGCGACGGCGGGGATGCTGTCCGCGCGAGGCCGCTGCCACACCTTCGACGCGCGCGCGGACGGCTACGCGCGCGCCGAGGCGTGCGCCACCTTCTCGCTGCAGCGCGTCGCCGGCGCGGCGGCGGTGCTTGCGACGTGGTCCGGCAGCTGCGTGCGGCAGGACGGGCGGAGCGCGAGCCTGACGGCGCCCAACGGGCAGGCGCAGCAGGCGCTGCTGCAGTCCGCGCTCGCCAGCGCTTCTTTGCAGATCGAGCAGCTTGCTTGCGTCGAGGCGCACGGCACGGGCACGGCGCTCGGCGACCCGATTGAGACGCGGTCGCTAGCACAGCTCCTCTCCAGCCGTTGCGAGGCGCTGGCGTTGGGCAGCGTCAAGGCGAACAGTGGGCACGCCGAGCCGGCGGCGGGCGGCGCGGGTCTGCTGCGGCTTGTGGTGAGCTTGGTTGGCGACTCCGCCGCCCCGAATGGGCAGCTGAGGGCGCTAAACCCGCACGTGAGGTCGTCGCTCGAGGGCGCGAGTTGCGCGCTGCCGACCCAGCTGGCTGCGGCTTCGGTTTGCGCGCCCGTCGATGGGAGGGGCTGCGCCGGCGGGGTGAGTTCGTTTGGGTACAGCGGCACGATCGTGCACGCGCTGCTGCAGGTCGGCGGCGAGGCGCGCGGCGCGGTCAGCACTCCGCCCCCTCCGCCGCGATACTACTCGCGCCGGTCTTACGGGTGGCTTGACAAGGTTCACCCGCTCGCGGACGGGGTGGATGCGGCGGCGCCGAGCGGGCTCGTGCGTTTCTCGTCGTCGGCAGGCGGCGCGCTGCGCAGCCTCGTGGCGGACCACGTCGTTCAGGGCCGTGTCGTCTTCCCCGGCGCCGGCTACCTCGAGATGGCGCGCGCGGCGAGCGACGCGGCGAGCGACGCGGCGGGCGGCTTGCTGCGACGCGTCTTCTTCCTGCAGCCCCTCCTGCTCGACGGCGACGTCGCACAGCTGCGCGTGGTGTGCGAGCTCAACGCGGCGGAGGAGCGCTTCGAGGTTCAAAGCGTGCTCGCCGAGGAGAGTGCGAGCACCGCCCATTGCGGGGGCTCAACGTGCGCTGCGGCGCCAGACGACGAGCGCCGGCGCCCGCAGCCGGCGTTGGTGCGCGGGAGTTGCGGGGCGGCGGTGAGCGCCGCGGACCTGTACTCCGCGTTCCGGGGGGTGGGCCTCGAGTACGGCCCTGCGTACCGCACGCTCGCGGGCGTGTGGGCGTCGCCAGCTTCGGGTGCTGCGGTGGGGCAGCTGCGGCGGCGCACGCTGTTGCAGGGCACCGCTGTGCACCCCGCCGATTTGGACGGCGCGCTGCAGCTGACGGCGCTGTTTGATGCCGACACGCCATCGGAGGTGCGGCTGCCGTTCTCGGTTGAGACCGCGGCGCTGCGCAGCGCACGCGGCCGCTTGTGCCCGGTGGCGGAGCGGTTTGGGGAGAGCACGTCGGTTGTTGCTCTCGATTGCTTGAGCCGTCTCGGCGGCAGCGGCGCGCGCTTGTCGGGCTTCGAGACACGAGCCCTCAAGGCGGGCGCCGCCACGCAGGCGGCGGCGCCGAGGCGGCACTTGTACGTGACAGCGTGGGAGGCGCGTGAGCAGCCCGCCGCCGCCGACCCCGAGGCGGCATCCTCCTTGCTGGTGCTGTCCACGCCCGGCGCGGCGTCCGGCGACTCCGACACGGTCGCCGCTTGCGGGGCGGAGGCGGGCGGCCATCGCTCGCTTGCTTTCGCCGGCGGGGTCGCCGCCGCGGGCGACGACCACGACTCCCTTGCGGTGATGGCAGCGGCTTTTGACGTCGTGCGGGCGCACACCGCCCGGGCCGCGCTGCCAGTCTGGCTGCTGACGAGGCACGCGGTCGCGGCTTGGGCGTCGGGCGGGTCCGGCGGGTCGTCGCACGCAGGCATGGTTGGCTTTGCGAGGCAGGTCCGGTCCGAGGCGCCGGCCTGCCGCCTGCCGGTCGTCGGCCTCGATGCGGAGCAGGCGGGAGCGGCTGGCTCGACGGCCGCCGCCGCACTGCTCGGGCTCGGCTATTCCGGCGCTACCGAGCCTGAGGTGGCCATCACTTGCGGTGCCCTCCACGTGCCGCGGCTGGCCGAGGCGGCCGGCTCAGTCAGCGGGCCTGTCCGGATGCACTTCGACGCGCGCGGCGCCGTGTCGAACTTGCGGGTCGTGCCGCAGGCCGAGCAGAGCTCCGCGCCGGCAGGCGGAGACGTCGAGCTGCGCGTGCGCGCGGTCGGCCTCAACTTTCGGGACGTGCTCAACGTGCTGGGCGTGTACCCGGGCGACCCCGGCCCTCCCGGCTCCGACTGCGCTGCGGACGTGGTTCGCTGCGGCGCCGGCGCGCCGCACTTGTGCGTGGGAGGCGCTGTGCTCGGTCACGGCTTGGCGGCGCTCGCGTCGGTTGCGGTGAGCGATTCGCGGCTGATGGCGGCGATCGACGATTCGCTCTCGTTCGAGCAGGCGTGCACCCTGCCGACGACGTGGTGCACAGTCCACACGTCTCTCCTCGCGTCGCGGCCTCGCGCGGGCCACCACGCGTTGCTGCAAGCGGGCGCGGGCGGAGTTGGCCTCGCCGCGGGCGACTACGCGCGTTGGATAGGCGCACGCGCAAGCGTGACGGTCGGTCGGCCGTACAAGCACTGCTGGTACTTGCACGGCGTGGCTCTGCGTGGCGAGACGCTCAGCTCGCGCGACGGCGGCGCCTTTGTCGTTGGCGCGGCGGCGCTGCTCGGCGCGTCGCGGCTGAGCTTCGTGCTCAACAGTCTGTCTGCCGACTTCATCGCTGGCTCGTTTGCGTTGTTGGGCGAGGGCGGCTGCTTGTGCGAGATTGGCAAGCGCGCGGTGTGGAGTGCGGAGCGGCAGCGGAGCGCGTCGGCAGCTCGCTACGTTGCAATCGCGCTCGACAGCACGATCGAGCAGACGCCGGTGTGGATGCGGGGCACGCTTCAGCTGCTGTCTGCACGCGCCGCGGCGCGCGTGCTGCACGGGCTCCCGCTGCAGAGCTTCGCGATGGAGAGCGGTTTGCTCTCGGCGTTCCGCACCCTGCAGGCCGGCACAAACACCGGCAAGGTGGTCATCCGCATCCCATCCACCGCCACCGCGCCGCCGCGCGCGACGCATCTGCTCTCTGGCGGCACTGGCGGGCTCGGCTTGCTGACCGGCCGGTGGCTGGCAGCGGGCGGGGCCTCCACTGTTGTGCTCGCAGCGCGCGGCGGCGCGGTGCCGCGGGAGGACGGGGCGTGGGACGGAGCGTGGCTGCGGGAGTCGGTGCGGGATTGCTCCGTGTGCGTGGCGCGCGCCGACGCGGCGGAGCTGGCTGACATCCGCCGCCTGGTGAGCGCGGCACAGAGCGGCGACACGCGTCCGCTCGCGGGCTTGTGGCACGCGGCGGGCGTCCTCTCCGACGGGTTGCTGCGCGCGCAGACGGCGAGCACGCTCCGCCGGGTGTACGCACCAAAGGTGCACGGAGCTTGGGGCCTGCAGCGCGCGTGCGCCGCGGCGCCACTCGACGCGTGCGTGCTCTTCTCGTCCATCGCGGCGCTGATTGGCGGCGGCGGGCAGTCCAACTACGGCGCGGCGAACGGCTGCCTCGACTCGCTTGGCGTGTGTCGGCGGCAGCGCGGCCAGGCGGCGTCGAGCGTGCAGTGGGGCCCCTGGGCGGACGTCGGCATGGCCGCAAACAGCTCGGTCAACGCGCGCATCCAGGCGTCGGGCATGGGCTTGATCGGGCTGGAGCAGGGCGCGACGGCGTTCCGTGCGGCGCTGCTACCGGGAGCTCCGGCACTGTTGAGCTTGGTCGTGCTGTCTTGGGGCAAGTTTCTAAGCTTCATGCCCGCGGTGCCGCCACTGCTGCAGGGCTTCTCCTCCCGCAGGAGACCGTTTGCGGCCGTCGGCGACGCGTCGGAGCGCCGCGTCGTGACGCTCGAGATGATCATGGAGTCGCTCGAGTCGACCATCGGCAGAGGCGTGGACGCTGACGCGCCGCTCATGGAGGCGGGGCTCGACTCGCTTGGAGCGGTCGAGCTCGGCAACCAGCTGCAGCAGGCGTCGGGGCGAAGCTTGCCCAGCACGCTCGTCTTTGACTATCCAACCGGCCGCTGCCTCGCAGACTTCTTCGCAGAGCCGACGGCCGCTGCCACCGTTCGAGACCCGCCCGCCGCCTCCCCGTCTCCGCAGCCGCAACGGCTGCCGTGTCACGCCACAGGGTGGAGTGCGGCTCTGCCTTCGGGGACCTCGTCCGTTGCTTCGGCCCTCCGCATGATCCGGGCCGCCGCCGACACCGTCGGCGAGGTGCCGTCCGAGCGCTGGTCGTGGCGGCAGCAAGGCATGCCGGACGGCCTCGTGGGGCAGCGCGCCAGCCACGGCGGGTTCGTGCGAGACGCCGACTGCTTCGACAACGCCGCCTTTGGCGTCTCGCCCGCCGAGGCGGCGGCGATGGACCCGCAGCAGCGGCTGCTGCTCGAGCACGGCTACGAGGCGCTGCACGCGTCGGGGCAGGGCCGCGAGGCGCTCGCGGGCAGCCTGACGGGCGTGTTTGTGGGCATCGCCGCGGCGGACTGGGCCGAGGTGCTGCGCGGGTCGCCGGTTGGGAGGAGCGTGTACGCGGCCACGGGGAGCAGCCACTCGATCGCGTCGGGCCGGCTCTCGTTTGCGCTCGGGCTGCACGGCCCGTGCGTCTCGTACGACACCGCCTGCTCGGCGGCGCTGGTCGCAGCGCACGGCGCGGCGGGGGCGCTGCAGCGGGACGAGTGCCCGTCTGCGCTGGTGGCGGGGGTGAGCCTGATGCTGCTGCCGGGCGTGTCGGTGACGTTTGCGACGGCGGGGATGCTGTCCGCGCGAGGCCGCTGCCACACCTTCGACGCGCGCGCGGACGGCTACGCGCGCGCCGAGGCGTGCCTAGCTTGCGCGCTCGAGTCGGCTGGCAGTTTGGCTGCGGGTGCGAGGTCGTCGCGGGTCGATTCGCCTGTCGTGCTCGGCGGCGCCGTCGGCCAGGACGGAAAGAGCGCGAGCCTGACGGCGCCGAGCGGGCAGGCGCAGCGCGAGCTCTTTCTGCGCGCGCTCGCCGCGGCTGCGGTGCTGCCGGCTGAGCTGGCACTGGTGGAAGCGCAAGCCAACGGCACGCCGCTCGGCGACCCGATCGAGGTGCGCTCGCTGGCGGCGGCGGTGGTCGATGGCCGCGCGCCCGGCGGCGCGGGGCTGCCGCTGAGCAGCATCAAGGCGTGCATGGGTCACGCGGAGCCCGCCGCCGGACTCACCGGCTTGCTGAAGCTGCTAGCAGGCCTGCGCGTGCGGCAGGCAGCCCCCAACGCGCAGCTGCGTGTGCTCAATCCGCACGTGCTGTCGGCTGACTCGAGCGGCGGCTGCGCGTTTGCCGCGCAGAACGCGCCGGCTGTGTGCGGCGGCGGTGGCGCCGGGGTGGTGGCGCGTGGCGCGGTTGACTCGTTTGGCTACAGCGGCACGATCGCGCAGCTGCTCTGCGCAGCATCGTCCGCCGCGTCGGGCGCGGAGGAGGAGCACGCTTCGCCGCACCTCGGGGCCAGCGGGGTGGGTAGGCCAGCCTACTTGCGCCGCCGTTTCCCCCTCGCCCTTGTCACATCCGGCGCCGCCGACGGCGACGGCTCTCGCCTTGCCGCTTTCGCCGCCCAGCAAGTTGGCCGTCTGGTTGGTACGCCGCTTCGGAGCAAGGCGGTGGCCTCCCCCGACGAGGAGGCGCGCAGCGCCGAGGTGATGCGGTTCGTGGAGGAGAACATCATGTGGCTCGCACGCTCGGGCAAGGGCGACGACGCGGACACCCGCCTCGACGAGACTGAGGCGTTGGACACCTGCTGCTGCTGCGCGCAACTGTCTGTCTCTGACTGGACGGCTTCCCTGTTTGTAGGCGACGGACACCAACTGCTGGTCCTCCTCCTCCGCCTCGGGCGGGGGCGGCTCCTCGGGCGCCGACACGCCGCCGCAGCAGCATTGGCCGGGCCCGCATACGGAGCCGCCCGTCGAGTGGAACTTTGCGTCGGCTGGCGGCTCTGCTGCGCGCGGCCCTGCCGTCGGGCCGTGGGGTCTCCTCGGCGCCAGCGCAGCGGAGCGGGAGCGGCTGGTGCTCGGCTCGCTGCTGGCCGAGCTGCGCGAGCTGTGCGGCGGCGACGGGCGCACCCTCGACGAGGACTCGCCCCTGCTCGAGGCCGGGATCGACTCGCTCGCGGCGGGCGAGCTGGTCAGCCGCTGCACCGCCCAGACGGGTGTCTCCCTCTCGCTGGACATCCTCGAGGAGCTGGGCACCCCGCGCGCCCTCGCCGCGCTGGTCGCCTCCGCGATGGCCGAGAAGGCGCCGCGGAGCTCGCACATGCAGCACCACTCGCAGTCGTCCCCTCGTTGATCCCACAAGTCTGCCCCTCAGGAGTCCGAGTGCGCCGCGGGCCGCGGCGGCGGCTGGCTGGCGGGGAGGGCGGGTGCGCGGTGCTCGAACCCGCTGCTGCAGCTTCCGACGTGGGACATGCTCGGCGCGACAAGAAGCGTCTCCCCGCCGGCGGGCGCCGGACAGCGTCTCTTCACGCCTCCTGGCTGTGAGCAGGCGCTATGAGCGTCTCAACGCCCGTGCGGAGCGACGAGGTCGTGCCAGGGCGCGAGACGGTGTTTTACTTTGCCGGCATCCCGGGCGTGGTCGGGATCGAGTTCCCGGAGCTGTGCCGCGCGCTGCCCTTCAACGTGATCGGACTGCCTTGCCTACAGCTCCTCGTCAAGCACGGCTGCGGGCGCGGCCGACAGAAGAAGATGCCGTGCCGCCGCCATCTTGCTCTGATGGCCCAGCTTTCCCCTTTCTTAGGCTTGGCCGCGCCTTCACGATGGCGAACCTCGCCTCGCACCTCGCCACCGCCATCAACGCTCTGCAGGCGCGCCTCGCGCACCTCCTCGCACCTCACCACATCACACACACACACACACACACACGCGCGCACTGCCCGCCCGCGCACCGGGGCCTGCACCCGAATGCCGTGGGCGCCTGCCCATCTTTGGGCGCGGCGATGCGGAAGCAGCCAAGTCCCCGCGCCTCACCGCCAGCGGGCGGAAGGGTCCGCCTCACACCTCGCCCCGCCCCCCCTCCCCCCCCCCGCAGGCGACCGGGCCGCTGCGTCTCCTCGGCTTCTCGTGGGGAGGCTGCGTCGCGGTCGCCACCGCTAAGGTCCTCGAGGATCAGGGGCGCGAGGTGGCTCGGCTCGCGGTCGTCGAGCCCTTCGAGCGGATCGTGATGCCGATGCACTTCGCGCCCAACCTCGCCGACCTGTGGGTGAGGATGCTCGTGCCGGTGCCGCCGCTCATGGGCAGGATGCACGACTTTTGCGTCGCGCAGGGCGCGCCTGTCGCGCCGCTGTCGCAGCTGAGCGAGGCGTGGAACAACGCACTCGTCGCGCACGCGACGCTCCACTCGGACGACCTCACGCTGCACTGCCCCACCCTCTACATCATCTCCGCGTACCGCGAGCAGGCCTCGGGCTACGACCGCGTGGAGAACGCACTCTCGCCCCTCTTCCCCGCGACGGAGGTGGACATGTCGTGGCCAGCGTGGATCCTCAAGCGGATCGTCATCACGCTCTCGCGCGGCGGCACACCCGTCTCGCGCTCGTGCACCACAGTCGCCAAGCGCGTCGCGCCCGGAGACCACTTCTTCATGCTCGACCCAGTCAAGGCGAGGCCGGCACTCGCGCGCATCGCAGACTTTTTCGTGCGGCCAGAGCTGCCGGAGGACGCGTGCGCCGGCGCGCCCGCCCGCCGCCAGCCACTCCGCCAGTGCCTCCTCAAGTGCCTGGGGACGAAGGGGGAGGATGACGCGCCGACGGGCGAGCCACGCGTGGAGGGTTCGGGCGAAACTCTGTGATCACGTATCTGTCAAGAGCGCCACTGTGGCAGCGCACCAATTGGGGCGGGACCCGCACCATTTCATAGTTTTAGCACGTAGGCATGTGCATATCCCGTGTCACCGTTACGCTCGCTCTTGTGGTTCAGTGTCCTCATGGTTAGCATGCATGTGTTGTTTTGCCCGCGTGGCGTTGCGAGCGAATTTTTTTTCGCCTACATGTATACTGCCTCGTGCCTGTGCGTCCCAGCCGCGGATACTTTACGCCATATGCCATACGCTCGCGCGGATACGCAAGAGGCTCTGCCCGCGCGCCGCCTCCAGTGCCCGATTTTGCTCACCAGTTTCATAAAGCCGTACACGAAGGAATGCGAATTGGGTTATCATATCGGAAAACCGCCTCACGCAGGCGTCTTTTCACACTTTTATTCGCTTACCTTCGCCACGCCGAGCTTGCCCGTCGTGAAGAAGAAACCAAAATTGATTGGCGCGTATGACGCCGAGGGCGGCGCGTCTGGGAAGGTAAGGGAAAAGAAAAAGACGCCTCCTCCGTCATCAAGAAAAAGAACGGATTTTAGGACAAAACTCTCTCGCACACGCACGATTCACCACAGAGAGAGAGAGAGAGAGATAAAAGTACGTATGCGTACACCATGTCGTACACACAGAGAGTCACCGTGCAGGCGCCTCTGCTTGTGTCGTTTCATTCGTCATCGACACAGGTCTTAGCCCACGGGCGGGCGGGCAGAAAGACGGACGGCTCCGACACATACTGTGTCCTCAGCCCAGGCGCCATATCATCACACACCCCAGTTGGGGGAACGAAAGGAACCTGCTCGTTGCGGTCAGGGCAGTCGGACTCCGAGGTGGTGTTTAGCTGTCGGCCAAATAAGGCTGTTAGCATCGGGCTGCAGTCCCACTCGCGAAGACGCGTCTCCGGCTCGAAGTGGGTGACGGCTCGCTTCAGGCCCGTTTGATAGACCCAGTAAGCCCACTGAAACTGGTTTCTCTCGGCGGCATCGCGAACCGTGAGAATCCAGTCGACTGCGTGATCTTTGTGCACGAAGTCTATATTCACGCCCGTCTCGCCCAAATCTGCGACAGGGACGGTGTGGTTGCGTTACCGTTAGCGTGCAGGGGGGGGGGGGGGCGTGAGAGGCGAGTGTGAGAGGCGAGTGTGAGAGGCGAGCACGCACAGACAGGGAGTTTGATCGCGGCTCGGATGGAAGCGAATTTCTCGTGAATCATGTCCGCGCTTTCCTCGACTTCCCAGGTCTCGTCGATCACGCCCGTGTGCGCGGTAAAGCTTCTCGGGTCGTAGTAGTGGAACGTAGCGGCAACGGGATGTGGCCACGACACGAACTGGTTTAGCGCCTCGGCGTCCAGGAGGAGCCCCTCGCTGCTACTCAAATACCAGGGCATGCTGGGCTCGCGGTCGCAGCGTCGGCCCATCTCGCCCGGCAAGATGACCAGGCGAGACGGCTGCGCTGCGTGGATTTGGGAGACAAGGCCAGGCAGGAGCCGCGAAAAAGGGCGAGGGAGCGGGGCATGTGTGCCCCACTGGCCGGGTTCGTTTATCATCTCGAAGGCCACCTTGTCCGCCGGGAACTCGTCCAGCGGGAAATCCTCCAGCACGGTGGCCCACACCCAGCGCAGCGTCTGCTCATTGATGTCCAAACTCCACACGAGGTGGAGCGGGTTGAGGACCACCTTCAGCCCCGCCCGGAGCGCCATTTGTACATGCTCCTTCAGCAGTGAGTACGTGCTCGATGAATTCCTGACTCCGCAACCATCTCGGTCCGTCGGACCTGCTTCGCTTGAGCTTGCTTCGCCCGCGTCGGAACGAGCCATTTGTAAGCACCGTTGGCCGGTGCGGATCCGAGCGCTGGCCTCCGCTTGGCCATCATCACCACCCGACGGCCGGAACGTCGTGGCTCTGCACTCGGTGAAGTTGAGCAGTTCCGCCGCGGCGTAGCTGCCTATGCGCACGTGTCCGAGCCGCGCAGCGAGCCCAAAGTAGTCGTCTTGCGTTGGACACGACTCCGTTGCGTTGTCCGGTATCCAGATATCGCGTCGGAACGAGCCATTTGTAAGCACCGTCATGCATACCTGCAGCGACCATGCGCCAATGTTTATTCCGGGCCCCAGATCTGCGAGAAGAGCAGCTGCGGAGGGAGGCACCGACGGCGAGGCGGTGGGAGGCGGCGGCGACGGCGAGGCGGATGGCGGCGGCAGCGACGGCGAGGCGGACGCAGGCGGCGGCGACGGCGAGGCGGACGGCGGCGGCGGCGACGGCGAGGCGGAGGGGGGCGGAGGCAGTGCCGGCGCTGGGTCCCCTGCCGATGCCGGTGGGCATGTACAGTCTCGGCCTTCGCCACTTCCATGATTTTCGTAGTGTGCCGCCGCCGCTTCCACATTTGTTGCCCCAAACGCAGCCCGCAGATCTGCATACCGATCAAGGTAGCACTGCCAGTCGCATGCCGGCGTAGGAGGCGGTGTCGGCGGCGGTGGAGGTGGCGGCGGCGACGGCGAGGCGGACGGCGGCGGCGGCGACGGCGAGGCGGACGGAGGCGGCGGGGGGGGCGAGGCTGAGGGCGACGGTGAGGGCGGCGGCGGCGGCAGGGGGGGAGGAGGCGGTGACATCGCGCCAGCGGAAGACGGAGGCGGACACGGCGAGCACCCATTGCAGCCCCTCCAGGTGCACTTGCCCCTGCTGCCCGTCCACAACTGCGTCTTACGATTGCAGTGCCGGTTGCATGAGGCGGAGCTGGCGGCTGGCGGCGGCGGCGTGAGGGCTGTCGATGGCGACGGTGGCGACGGTGAGGCGGAGGGAGGCGGCGGCGGCGGCGGCGGCGGCGGCGGCGGCGGCGGTGACGGTGGCGGTGACGGCGGTGGAGGTGGTGGCGACAGCGATAGCGAGGCGGACGGAGGCGGCGGGGGTGGCGAGGGTGAGGGCGGCGGCGGCGGCAGGGGGGGAGGCGGTGACATCGCGCCAGCGGAAGACGGAGGCGGACACGGCGAGCACCCACTGCAGCCCCCCCAGGTGCACTTGGCATCCCAGGCCTGCGTCTTGTACTCACAGAATGACCTACACACCGTTGGGGGCGACGGCGATGGCGCCGGCCCGGCCGGCGAGGCGGACGGCGGCGGCGGCGACGGCGAGGCGGACGGAGGCGGCGGGGAGTGCGAGGCTGAGGGCGACGGTGAGGGCGGCGGCGGCGGCAGGGGGGGAGGAGGCGGTGATATCGCGCCAGCGGAAGACGGAGGCGGACACGGCGAGCACCCACTGCAGCCCCCCCAGGTGCACTTGGCATCCCAGGCCTGCGTCTTGTACTCACAGTATGCCTTGCACACCGCTGGGGGCGACGGCGATGGCGCCGGCCCGGGTGAAGGCGATGCGGCTGGAGGCTGGCAGTAGGGCGTACACCCGCTGCATCCCTTCCAGGTGCACTTGTTGGGCCAGGGGCGGGTGTTCTTGGGGCAGTGCGCAAGGCACGAACCAGCTTGCAGAGCCCGCAAGCGGGAGCCGGCAAGAGCTTCCGAGAAGGGTGGCGTTGTCGCTTGAGACGAGCCCGCTGTCCCAGTGGTCACCTGAGAGGGACACAGTCGTGACGCTGTGGGTGAGGCAACTCGTGTCGTTGTTGGTCGCGCTGCCGGCTGAGGGGGCAAGACACTGGTCGAGGGGCGCGGCGAATCTCCTTTGCGGCAGTGAGCAGTGTAACGGCGCCTCGACGAGGAGGAGCGCGGTGAGCACGGCATCGCGTGGCATTGTTGCGGCGTCTCGTTCGCGCGTCCTCGTCCGACGAGTCGGCGTCGACGGCGGTGGGCTCACAACGACGATAGTGGATGCATAGGTACTGGATGCACAGACGGGCGGATCGCGATGAGATCGGCAATTAGGAAGTAGCCATCGGTTGTCGATGCACGTTCGTCGGTTCAAGGAGACGGAGGAGCAACGAGCGCCCTGGCGTGAGCCAAAGATACTCTCCCCTCCATCTGTAGACACTGATCACGTGGGACAGGGTGGGTGGGTCACAACGAAGCACGGAACGAGGGCGTGCTCGACGGGGGGACAGAGCGACAGCGCAGCGCCTGGTGTACCTGTGTTACATGTAGTGCCAGTGCGCGCCAATCCCGTGCCTAGTGTCATGCGAGGGAGTTTGGTTGTAAAACAAGAGGGACTTTCGTTGTGAAATTCTCTTTCTGAGGGAGCTGGTGGTAAATTCTCTTTCTTGCGCAGTCCTGCGCAGTCCCGTGCCCAGTGTCGTGCGAGGCAGCCCGCGAGTGAATTCATCTGCTGCACGTATCTCTTTCCTGCGTGCGTCCCGCACGACGAGGGCGGCTCGACGGAACGACTCTTTTGGGCGCGGCGTATCAGGCGCACCGAGCGTATCGCCGCGGATGATCGAGTCACGCGTTCGAACCTCTCCGACTCCAACCTCACCGGCCGCCAACTCCACGACTCGATTGTCTCAAGCCTCGGACACCACGACTCGAGCCTCTCAAACCGCCGCCGGCACCACGAGGCGCAGCTATGAGCGCGCCCCCTCCATCATTCCGCCGCATCAACTCAGACGCCGCCCTTGCTATTTTGCGGCTGCCCTCTGTACGATTGCCACCACGGCCGGCTGCATTCTGGGCTGGCCCTCTATGCGGGTCGTCCTGGAGGGAGAGGGGCTTCTGGCGTCGGGCTGCGTCCTCGGCGAGGAGAGGGGCGGGAGGCTCTTCTACGTGGCCGGCCTCTGCAAGTCGCAGGAGCTCCGCCTCGGCCTGACCTACACGATCGCCTCGTGGGCCGCGCAGGGCGGCCGCCTCTTCGCTGGTCTCGCGCTTGACGCGTGCGGCTGTCGGGTCACAGTCACAGTCTCGCTCCTCCTCTGCGCGCTCGGCACCAGCATCGTCGCCCTCTCCATCGCCGACCCGGCAGGGCGCAGCGAGGCGCCCATGCGGTTCTGGCTCCTCCACCTCTCTCCCCTGGATCCTGCAGACCACACAGCCCAGCATCGGCGGTTCTGGCTCCTCCACCTCTCTCCCCACACAACACCTCTACGCGGCCCGCGCCCTCTCCCCCCAGGCGCTCCAGCAGTCCGGCCTCACGATCGGCTTCTTCATGCTCGCGCTCGGCGGCTCGGGCGTCTCGCTATCGCTGCAGTCGGTCGCGGCGCTCTTCCCCGCGCACCGCTCCCTCGTCACCACTGCGCTCACCGGCGCGCTGCAGCTCTCGTCGGGCGTGTACGTCCTCTTCGAGCTGCTGCAGCGCGCCGGCGCGAGCGTGCTGGTCATGCTGCTCGTGCACGCCGGCGTCTGCCTATGCTTCGCGGCCGGCGCGCTGCTGGCCTGGCCAGCCTCACGCCGCGCCACCCGCCGGGGTCAGCCGGGGTCAGCCGAGACTAGGCGCGCCTTGTATCTGGCCGGCCCTCCCCTTCACGGTGCACGCGCCCGTGGAGGTGGTCGAGGAGGTGCAGCGCCGGTCGCGCCGCGAAGGGTCCGCCGCCGTCACCGCCGCGCCTGCGCGCGCGGACCCCGCCGCCGTGCCACCGAAGGGGTACGTCCCGCTCCGCCGCCGCACCTTTCGGGAGCAGGTCGGCTCGCGGCAGTACGCGCTACTCGTGCTCATCTTCACGGTGCACCTGCTGCAGTGCCAGTTCCTGCTCGGCAACGTCGGCACGCAGCTCGACGAGAAGGGGGACGACGGGACGGCGCGGATCACCTTCTCCGCCTGCCTCTCGCTCACCATCCTGGTGTCGCCCCTTGTGGGCCACTTCATCGACCGCTTCGGCTTTGCGGTCTCCTTTGCCGTCATCAACTCCATCTTTCTCGCAATCTCCGTCCTGCTGCTGCTGCCCTCGCTCGCCGCCCAGTACGTCATGGCGGTCCTCAACGCGATCAGCCGCGTCTCGCTCTGGTCCTGCTTCTTCTCCTACACCGGCGCCACCTTCTCCTTCTACCACTTTGGCAAGCTCGCCGGCGGTGGGCTACTGCTTGCCGCCACCGTCTCGCTGCTGCAGTTTCCTCTCCTCGACCTCACGCTGGGGCCGTTCGAGGGCGACTTCACCTTTGTCAACGCGCTGTTCGCGGCGATGTCGTGCGCACTTTATCCCGCAATCTTCTGGCTCGCGCGCATCGAGGCGAGGCGACTGACGGAGGAAATCGCTGTGGCGGCGAGCAAACCGCCGGACCTGCCCTCGAGCGTGGAGACCATTTGATGCCGCTGGATCCGTGATATAGAGTTTAGAAAGGTCATACGGCGAGATGTCTTTGACCCGTCAAATAAACAAAATCCGAAAATCGATTGTGCTACTAACAAAGGTAAGTTTAGAGTGACACCTAGCGAGGGGCAGACCTCTCGATGATGGACGAGCCATGGCGCCAGCCAGGCGAGTTCACACGATCCCAATATCAAACGCGCCATTAGCGCGCCAGCACGACTTATACGTCAATTACGCCACCCACGATAACACTTTCGATGTTTGTGACGTGTTCCGGGCGTTGATCGAATCCCTTGTGCGACAAATCACGACTCCCACGAGCCGCGCCGCGCTGCGCGCGCGCGCGGCTCACTCGCTACCACCGACACCCGTGCGTGTCACACTATGGCAGCGGCTGCTGGCCTCGAGGCCAGCCCAACAAAATTTATGAGCCCAACACGCAACGGCGTACCTCTGCCGTATCCAACTGGAATTGCACCGCTCAACTTGCACAGCAGAGATGGTGGGTTGGTACTGGCATTGACAGCAATTGTCATCGCTGCAGCAACCCAAAACGGTGGCATACGAACCCACCAACTACTGTCAGCAACGGTCGAGTACCAAACAGATGCACTATTTCAACGTTCACTTCGTCCCGCAAAAAAGGGCCGACCGGAATTTGCGCCTCAGCGGGGGGGGGAGAGCGCAGCCCCTCGTGAATCACCCCATTCATCTATCATAGCAAATGGCAGAAGTGATTCAAGCGGGAGTCCTAGCCGCCAACGACGAAAATTCCATCGGCCCCGGAGAGCAACAGCAACAGCAGCAGCAACGGCGCTGCCGGGCGTGATCGCCACCGACGGCGTGATCGCCACCAACGGCGTCATCGCCGCCCTCGGCGTCATACGCGCCACCAACGGCGCCATACGCGCCGCCCTCGGCGTCATACGCGCCACCAACGGCGCCACACGCGCCGCCCTCGGCGTCATACGCGCCACCAACGGCGCCATACGCGCCGCCCTCGGCGTCATACGCGCCACCAACGGCGACCGCGCGCTGCGGACTATTGATGGGATTGACTCTCTGTGCCCCTCACAGGCATGCCAACAGATTGAGGCTCGCCGCGACGTCGCGTCACGAGACTGCTAGCTGAACGGCGCGCCGAGCCGGGGGGTTAGAGTGACACCTAGCGAGGGGCAGACCTCTCGATGATGGACGAGCCATGGCGCCAGCCAGGCGAGTTCACACGATCCCAATATCAAACGCGCCATTGCGCGCCAGCACGACTTATACGTCAATTACGCCACCCACGATAACACTTTCGATGTTTGTGAGTGTTCCGACGGGCGTTGATCGAATCCCTTGTGCGACAAATCACGACTCCCACCGAGCCGCGCCGCGCTGCGCGCGCGCGCGGCTCACTTGCTACCACCGACACCCGTGCGTGTCTCACTAAAGTTTAAGTAAGGTAAACTTCTCTCCCCATTCGCATTGTGCTCTACTGTACGAAGGTCGTACTTCTTTCTCACGCTCAGACCCTGGTCCAATTGATATGAATCGCCCCCCTGACGGCACACACGAGGTGAGGGGCTGGTTGCTCCGAATGCACTCTGCCCCATCCTCCGCCCTTGCCGGCACACAGAGCTCAGGAGCCCCGTTCCTCACCTTGTAGTAAAAGCCGTAGCTGACGCAGGCGGGTAACTACTGGCACGCGGGTGAGTGGAACCGCTACCTGCTGGATGTGGAGGAGCTCAGCGATGGCTCATTTCGTGTCCAGTTTATCTTGTGATCACGCTCGAGCCTGTGAATAGGCCCCGGAGGCCTCAACCCCCAACTAAAGGGCTTGAGGGGGGGTCTCAACCGTCAACCAGATGGTTGAGGGGGGGCCTCAACCCTCAACCCCTCAACCACCCCTCTGGGTAGAGGGCAAGGGTGAATATGGCTGCCTAGGCCACGGGGAGGACGAACGATCAGCTGCTGCCGAAGAAGAGCGAGGCGCGCGGCGGAGAGTGGACTCACTCGGCGCGTCGACGGTGCGTATCGGGGACGGTCGGGCGTCTGAGGTCTGTCTGACACTGCGTGTCGCGGTTCGCGCGCCAGGGGGGGGGGGGGGGGGGGGATGGCCAAAACAAAACACGGGCGTGGGCGTGGGGGGGTTCTTCGGGCTCGCACCCGCGCAAGGGAAACCTTCGGATGCCGGATGCGCTCCGCTCCTCCGTGCTCATCCTCCTCTCCACGCTGCTCACCTGGTCGGCCAACAACGTGGGCGGCCTCGGTGCCGTGACAGCGTCCGCGTCGGTGACCATGCTAGCAGCACTGGCGCACAAGCAGTCGGCAGCCGCAGTGATGTGCGCATCGTTTGCTGGGTGGGTGTCCAGTGAGGTGATTCCAGACGTGCTGTGGGCCTCGGCCCTGGGCGCCGTCACGGCCCTCACCTTTCAGGCATTCGTAGTGCTCAAGATTGGCGAAGGGTGGGGCGGCCGGTTGGGCCTCATCGCATTCATCGCAGTGAATCTCACCGCGGTATGTCAGGACCTGGGCAGGGTTGAGCACCTCTTTGAAGGCGAGAGGTATGCGGTCGTGAGCGGCGACGCCGCCGTCTGGTTTGTCTTTGTCTGTCTGGCCTCCACCACCTTTGGGTCCTTCACCACCATCTACCTGCGATGCAACGTCCCATCCCTGGACAACCCCGCGGCGGCTGCAGCCTTTGTTGGGCTGCTCGGAGCACTAGTCATGTCGGGCATACCCACGTCGCTGCTCTTTGCCAATTTTGGCGGCAAATCGGGCGAGGTGTCTGCGGCGGTGTATGGCGGCGCGTTTGTCGGCATGTCGTCAAAAAACCACGTGCCCAACTACCTCGCCTTCTTGGCGACTGGGGTATTGGCGGGCGGCCTCAGCGTGGCGCTGCGGGGTGTTTTTGTAGATGGGATCGGCGGCAAGTACGGCGCGATGGCCTTTCTCAGCGTTGGCATCTACAAGGCGGCGCGCGGCCTCTTCTCTGGCGGGCCGGCCGTGCGCGAGCCCGCGCCGAAGAGTGAGTCGAGAAGCAGAAGGAGCTATCTCAGCACCCGGCTCACGATGGTGCGGTCTCCCTCGATGCTGCCGTTCGACGGCGGCGGGGAGGAGACTGTGAGCAGCGCGGCCGAGAAGCGAGGAACGCATGTACAGGTATGAACTGCGTGATGAACTGATGTTTACGCAGCGACCACGCGACGACCATCTCGTTCTCGACCAGTCCGCCCCCTTTCTTTAAAATTGATAGCTGTACCCTTACTACCTCTCCTACACGGTACCACTACCAGGTGGGCCCGCCGCCCCGCGCGGCGAGGCTCTGGACGAGAGTCGAGAGCGCGAGAGAACGACTACGGCTTTACGAGGAGGGTGCGGCTGCTTCGTACTCTCGTTACACTCGTTTGTGCGGTGACCGAAGTGTCTCTTTCTCACACCTTGTTCGCGCCCCCGACGCTACACACCCGCCTAAGCCCCGAGTGCAGCCCTGCGCCCAGCCACGGCGCCCGCTCGCCCAGCCATGCGACCGGCGCAAGCCGATCGCACGAGCCGCGCCACGCGCCGCGCAGCACGCCCGCGACCCAGCAGCGGGCCAGGCTGACGGAGGGCGCCCTCCGCTGCAGCGGCGCCAGCATCGCGCCGTCGAGGTGCGCGCGAAAGGAGCGTGCGAAGTGGCGCACCTGCCGGGCGGCGGCAGGGAAGCGCGTCGGCTGCTGCGGAGGGAGGCGGAAGGGGGTAGGAGGGCTGGGCCACGAGGCGGGTAAGAGGCGGCCGGTGCCTCGCGCGCGCGTGTGTGGCGGTGGGGAGGAAGCGGGAGGAGGGGGGAGAGGAGGCTGAGGCACCGGGACGACGGCGTGGTTGCGTTCGCGCGCGAAGAGGTCACGGGAGAGGCTCTTGCGCACGTGCTCGCCCGCCTGGCAGGAAGGCTCCGACAAGGGTGGTGGACCGCTTCGCACCTTGCCTCCGCGCAGGCAAACCCAAAGAGAGTGAGGATCAAATCACGCGCGCGCGGGACGTGCCTCGGGCGTGCTCAGCCGCGGCGGTGTGTGCAGGAAGTGGGCCCTCAGAGGCGATGTCTCTCGCGGCGCGCCTCGACCAGCCGCCAGCCGCGCAAGTAGTCGATCACCGCCAACCTCGCGAGCACGTGGTAGCACTCGAGCGACGGCGCAGCCCCAGCCTTCCCCGAACCCGCCGCCTCCGCCGCCTCCGCCGCCTCCGTCGACTCATAAGGGGCGGCGGAGGAGGCGGAGGAGGCGGAGGAGGCGGAGGAGGCGGAGGAGGCGGAGGAGGTGGAGGAGGCGGAGGAGGTGGAGGAGGCGGTGGTGGCGGTGGTGGCGGTGGTGGCAGCAGCGGCGGCGGTGTCGGAGGCGGAGGCGGCGGCGACGTGGCGACAATAGCAGGCTTGTAGCAGCCTCGGAGGAGCGACCGGCGCTCTCTCCTCCGCCCCTCTCGCCGCCCCTCTCGCCGCCCCCGCCTCGCCGCCGGCGCCCGAGGGACGGTCCGAGGCACCGCCGCACTCTGTAGGAGACGCCGGCGCCGTGGCGACGGCGGTGAGCAGGTACGAGTAGTCCACCTAGGGAAGAGCTCTCGAGACGGGTCCAACCGCGAGGCTCGAGAAGGGACTACCACAGGGTGCGACGAGTCTTTGACCAGATTCCGCGCCGTGAGCAGCTCGACGTCGGCGTCGAGCGCTTTGGTGAGGGAAGCGAGCGTGCGAGCAGGAACCTGGAGGCAGACACAAGCTGTGTGCGGGCCCCGCGAAGCCCGGCGCCTGAACCCACCACCATCACCGCCGCCACTGCAGCCCTCGCGACTCCTGCCCCTTACGGCACTGCATCTGCCTGGCACTGCCGCCGCCCCTGGCACTGCCGCCGCCGCCACCTCCGCTGCTCGCCGCGACAGCTTGCGGCGGGGAGACGGAGCCGGCCACCGCAGCCGCGGCAGGGCGGGGGCAGGGCGGGCAGGGCGGGGGCAGGGCGGGCAGGGCGGGGGCAGGGCGGGGGCAGGGCGGGGGCAGGGCGGGGGCAGGGCGGGGGCAGGGCGGGCAGGGCGGGGGCAGGGCGGGCAGGGCGGGGAGGCGCGCGCCTTGAGGCCGCGGCGGCCAAAGGTGGCCTCGAAGCGCCGCTCGTGGTCGTAGAGGCGGATCCCCTTCATGTCGAACGGGGCGAAGGGCAGCCTCGTCCCCCGCGCGACGCCCGGCGGCGGGCGCGCGACGTTCTCCATCAGCATGCCCTCGAAGGGCGCCCCGCCCCGGGACGACGGGTCGGGCACGCGCACCCACGCGACGTAGCGAGCGAGCAGCGAGCCGCCCGGCGAGGCGTACCTCGCCATCAGCGCCTACGGAGGACCCCAGGAAGGCGCACGTAAGGTGCCTGGGCGGGCGAGGCGAGCGCGCGCGCTGGCATCGGCGCCGGCAGCAGCGGCGGCAGAAGCGCCACCTCGGGAGGGTGGAGCTGCTTGAGGAGGACGCTGTAGCTGCCCGCCTCGGACGGGGCGACACCTTCGCCGCCGGCGACGAGGAAGCCGGAGCCGCTCTTGCCGTTGGAGACCGCCTTGGCAGAGCAGGGCGCGGGTCGGCGAGAGCGGTGGGAGGTTTGGAGGGGCGGCAGAGGGCAGCAGTCGCGAGGCAAGCAGCGGAGAGCGAGGCGGCGGTGCGGACGGAGGCTGCGGCGGTCGTTGTGGGCAGAGGCAGCAGCAGCGGGAGAGGAGAGGCAGCAGAGAGGCGGCGGCGGCGGCGAGGCTCTCACCTTGGCCTGCATCGGCGGCGCCTCGGCGCGCCAGCCCGCCTCGCCCTCGACGGCGCGGCACCCGAACTCGGCGGAGAGCGCGCGCCTGCGCGGCAGGAGCTGCGGCGCGAAGGTGTCGCGGTGGAGCAGCTGAGCGCTGCTGTTTGCCGGATCGATCTCGAGAAGGACGGCGCAGATGGACTGCGCGAGCGAGAGGCGGCAGCCAGCGTCGCACATGCGTCGAGGCGGCGAAGGGCGGGGTCCCCCTGTGGCGAGGTACTCCCACGCCTCTCGGGGTTTTTGTCTGGCCGAGTCAACCCGAGATGCTGGGGCGAGCCGGCGAGACTGCGTCAGCTGTTCCCACAGCAGGCTGGAAGTACCTCGCCAGGGGTCCCCCCCCCCCGGGGGGTACCCCCCCCTACCCCCCACGAGAGAACGCCACATAAAAGCGAAACTTCGTGCGCGGATGGTCCCATCCCTCCCTTGGGTTGGGTTTGTCTGTTTTCTTTCTTTCTTTCTTCGGATGGCCTAGGTAGGGCCGTTCGACGCCTTTCGCACTGGTCTCACTACGGTCCCGAGATTGCGCAAAAATGGGCGCCGTGGTGGCGTTTGGACATCCCAATCATCACACAAGACAGCCTGTAGGTGATGGCGGGACGGCGCAGTGTTTGTGGCACTCGGCAGTAGGCACCCGCGGCACGGCCCCGCTGTCGGCTCTCGCGGGCTGCGGAACCGGCCCCAGAAGGGGACGGTCCGGGCGAGTGTGGCAGCTCCTGCGCTAGTATGGGCACCCTCTATCACAACACTACTGATCCTGGTCATTAGAGCTGCCAGGGATAGCGTCAGGAGCCGGTAGGAGTCAAAACCCCTCATATTTGAGACAACAGACATCGCGTGTCCCAATATACTCGTGCAACAAGCCATTGAGTATGAGATGATTGTATTAGAATTAATATGCACATGCATGATGCACATGTATAATATTGGCGAAGCCGTAAAAAAGTGAAATAAATATCAACCAATCAAGCTCTCAGCATGTGACTTGGAGCTCGGTCCCACTGGCACTCTCAAGTCTACTCGCAACGAGCACCTCCTCCGGGGCGGGGGAAGGAGCAGCACACGGTCTGGCGAGCCGAAGGACCTCCTTGACGAGACGGGGGCAGAAGGCCGGAGCCGCGGTCGGAGCCTTGAGTTGGATGTAGGCAACATTGGACAGCAAAATTATCACGAATCCCAAGAGCTGGACTAGCGACGACGGAACCTCGACCTCAACTCCTTGAGGCGGCAAGAGGCGCCAGCCGCCGCCGTAATAGACGCTAATGCCGAAGAGCCACGTTCCAAAGGGAAACGTCAGGGCTAGCAGCTTTTGCCGCAGCAGGCTGGAGTGCTTGATCAACCAAAACTTACCGGCGTCCTTTCCGTACGCGCAGATCAAGTAGAGTGCGAACGTGCACGGTGCCCAAGATTGGTCGACAAAGACGGCAGTTAGCGTGTCGAGCGCGGCGCTGTTCCTCGGGTTTAGCAGCATCAGTGGGGTGAGGGGCACGCAGACTGCTGACGACAGTGCCGATTCTGCCAAGAGCAGAGCGCTTGGTGGCAGACTGGCGTCTCCCAGCAGTGCCGCCTCGACGAGATTACGAGCGGCGCCGAGCAAACCCGCCAGGCATGATAGCAGCAGCCCGAGGGCCTGGTCGGCGGCAGTGTGATGCACTCCTGTGCTTGCTTTGAAGACGGTCGTAAGCCCGCAGAAGGACACACCGGCGGCGGCGGCGATCAGGCAGACCCACTGCGCCATGCTCGTCGCCTTTTTCAGGACCAATCGCGTGGCCAAGGCGAGGAATAGCAGCTGGGTGGTGGTCTTGGTCATCGTGACCAAGGACGGGTCGGCGAAGGCGAGCGCGAGGCTTGAAAGCCCGGTGATCACCACATCCATCGCCGCAGGAAATAGCAGCAGCAGCAAAAAGCGTGGCGTCGCCCGATGCCAGAGCGCGGAGCGGTTCGCCCGAGAAAGGGACGCGCCGAGCGCGCAAAAGACAAAGACGCCGATGGTCAATAAATACGTGATCCACAAGTCGTCTAGCAGCGACGCGCCTCCGGACTCGGTGATGTTTGGCGAGAACTTGAAGATGACGCCGCCGAAGAACGACACCAGGGCACCAGCGGCCAGATTGAGGACGGATACCGCGATCACAGAATGTCGCACGCAAAAGGAGCTCAGGCTCGAGCTTGGATTGCCGCTCAGCAAAGCGCCATCCGTGTCACCTCGCGCCAGTCTCACAGATCTCTCCGGGACAGATCTCCCGATGTTGCCGTCGTCGTTCAGATCAGGCGGTGCGGCGTCGCGAGGTTGCGACGTTGTGCTCATGCAGATCTCCTGTCGTGTTTCAGAGCGTGGCACAGCGTGGGTTTTCTTTTTTGATGCTAAGAGTAGCGCAAAGT